AGCTTTAATTTGCTCAAGAAGGGTTGGTAGTGAGGGATAGTGACTCAGTTTCTTATTTGTGCTCTGCATTTCTTTCCTACCTGAGGTAAAGTGATCGACAGCTTGGGTTACACAAGTCTCTTTGAAGAGAATCATTGACCCACTCTTCCATTTGTGAGTGTTGGTCTCAACCTTGTCAGGATGTAAACTGATAAAAGTATTTGTGAAGCCCTTATCTGTGTGCTGAATCATTTTTCTTTGTTGTCTTTTGAACTTGGGCCCTCTGATGAAACCCATAAAAAATGTGGTGACTCTTGTCTAGGGTCGTCGCTGGTGCAGGCACAGGGAGCATGGCCTGTAAGAGGAGCATTTTCAACACGTGCATGGACAAGCAGAGCAGAAAAACCAGGGCAGGCCTGATCACTTGCTTAGTTGAACCTGGGACCAAGCACGACAGGGTGCCTCAGGTTGGTGGCTGGGGGTTATTGTGAGTAAACACTAAAGTAGTTTGTATAATTCATTTAATGTCAAAGAAACCTAGGTGTTCACTCAGAGAGTTTTAAGCCCAAGTGCATTTAATTCAGTGTGCTGTTATTCTATTAGTGAAGTGGGTAACTTCCAGCAGCTTGCTTATGTATCTGCACTTAACAGTTGTTGCCTTGATCAATTCAAACTTCTAGAATGGCTGTTCTGGTTCTTACTGTGCCTAATCCTGATTCAAGACTGCAAATATTTTTGCTCATTGCATTTTGCTATTTCAGAAAATGCCCTGACCTGCAAAAATTGAAATTCCAAGAAAGCATACTGGGGATCACAAAAGCCTTAATCTTAGAGCTACATCTCCCTCAAAATCTTCACATAAATTAAAATATATGTAGATTGCGATCATTTAATATAGAAAGTTGTACTTTCTAGTTTTCAGAATTTGTTCTTTAGAGGTACACTTTTATTTATTCATGCACTAGCTCAACACCTTGAATAAACCAGAAGTGCAATCAGTTTAAATACAGATGTATTTATGTGCTTTATTGGATGGTCCCATTGCAAAAAAAATCACAATATGTTTGCAGAGGGATGGCAGTGATAATATTCAGAAAATGATATGGAAAGCAGGAGAGAGGAAAGGCTGTACAGAAAATTGTGTGGCTATGGACAAGTCCTGAAAAGGGGGTGCATGGGGCTGTCCTGAATGAATACTGGATGAGCATGACTGAATATAAGATATAGGTAGACACTGACTTATGAAGAAGTAGAATTTCTATAAATAGTTTAGTTTAGGGTCCAGGGAAGACTATTCAGTAGGAAGGTTACAAGGTGGGAAGGATGGGAATGAAGCACAACTTCTGAGTACTCTGTTAAAGAGTAGGACATCTGTATTTCTAAAGTGTCATGAATGTTCCATGGAACAACAGAAACACACCAAAAATCATAAGATTAGTCAAATTGTTGGATAATTTATACTTTTTATGATGTGTAACATAGAAAGGCTAGTAAAGCCACTAAAGTGTTAAGACATTTGTCTTGTGCCTTCTGTAGAAGAAAGAATATGTTAAAATTGCAACATAAAGGTCTTCTTAAACTGGAAATGGAGAGAAAAGAGGGAGTCATGATTCCAGGAAGTGCTTTGAATATCAAAGGCAACCCTGAATATTTCATTTGCTTTGAAAGGACACTGATCAAGCTTTGAATGTTTCATTTGCATTAAAAAGGGACAAGAATACACAGCTAAGATAAATCATCCAGGATTGGAGGAAATCAGCCAGCAGATGGAGTAATTTGATGAATTCTGTATCCTTACCTTCTGCAACAAGGGTTTTGGGTGACTATTATTTCTTGAGCTCCTAAGAGGAAACAATTTTGCTGTTAAAATTTCGATGTGCATTATTAAGTGTTTTACAACTTGCAATGCAGTTCAAAAGTTTCTAATTAATTGTGCAAACTTTATCTTCAAAAACTAGTATTTATTGTGCTTTAAGCTTTCATACTCACATAGTACTTTAGGGGAAGTTTGGGTGAAGCTGAGAAATTAGGGATTTATAATCTCTTTAAATGCAAAACCAATTTACATGTAACAACTTCCTTGGGACAATCTGCATGAAAAATAATGTTTTTAAGGAACATGTGTGCTTTTCTGGTAAACGAGGAGCTGGTCTGCAGCCTATTAAATGCAGTAATTGGTCCAGTGAACAACCATCCTAAAGGCAGCAGACCGTGGAAATACTTTAGCATGAAGTGTGCAGAATGAAGCAAGTTCCTGCAAGACTCTTTCATCTGGTCTACTTGACCTTAGGATCAATTGGATTGGAGCAGAGTCAAACCACAGTAGCTAACCTGACTCTTATCCTCAAATAAAATTGTCTGAGGGCTTAGCCTGAAACCGTGCCTAAGTCCGAGAGTTCAGTTTGACAGCAGCTTTCAACTTTTATTTTGTAACTCCACCCCTGCTTCTCCTCAGGCCTTTAATGTTGTCTCTTTGAAAACACAGAAAACAAACTTTGTGAAGTCTTCATTTGCAGAGGTCCTTGGGGATTACAAAAATCTGGCATTACTCTACTCTGTAGATAGGTATAGAATTTTTGAATCTCATTTTGCCAATCTGGCATTTTTAAAAAGAAAAATGTTTAGATTAAATTAAGGAAGAGTGATAGTGGTGAAAACCCAAACGGTGAGTGGGTGCTAGTACAAACAGTCAACCTGCTGGGTAGAATTAGCCATCTTACCTCCCAGTTTTCCTGAAAGACATATTGGTAAGCAAAGCCAGAATTTACAACAGAGTTGTAACAATTAACAAAGTTGAAGAAGCTTCATTACAGAAGTTTGGAATGTACCTGTGAATGGCATAAATTACTGCTCAATTTATTTGATACGTTATCACACAAAGGTTCTTGCCAGAGCCCTTGGTTTGTAAATTGAAAAAAAACCCCAAACCTCTTATTACTCTAATTAGACACATAAATCAGGTCAAATTTACTCTATTTTGGCAAGAGATGGACAACTCATAAATACAATTGCAATTGTGCTTTGTAGGAATTTGAAGGAATGCTTTGTAGCATTTCTGCTGGGCACTAAAAAAAGATGGGGTTGGTTGGGATTTTTTCCTAACCTGTGAAGGAAAAGGATTCAATGACCCGTTTAAGAATCAGATTAAATTGTTGTATATTAACCCCTTGTTAGAGAAAATAATAGATAATTAGATTTCAGAATCTTTTTCATTAAGGAGGGAAAGTCTTTGCTACTCTTCTGTATTCTGTTGTTTTCTCTAAGTTATATCATGCATGCAACAAATTAAAAAGATTTTTGCACATGATGTCTGGTTCTAAACCCCATGAAGACTTGCTTTCAAATTATGAGAATGCATGGAGAACTGTGTACCTAATATGTGTGCAAATGTTGCAGAAAATTCTTTGCTATAGGATAGATTAATTACAATTTTCAGGTTTAGCAAATGACATTGAAATACCTAGGATATTAATGCTAGGAAGTGAAAACAGCTGAATGTACTGGTTTGGGCTGGGCTTCTCCACAGTCGCTAATGTGGGATTCCATTTTGTATTTGTGGTAGGAACAATGTTGGTAATACAGAGATTTTTTTGCTGTTAATGAGGAGTGCTTTCACAGTGTCAAGGTCTTTTCTGCGCTTCACCTCACCCCACCTTTGGGTGGGTTTGGGGTGCACAAGGAATTGGGGGTGGCACACAACAGGACAACTGATCTCAATGACCCAGTGGAGATCCCAGATCATATTGTGTCATCATTAGCATATAAATTTGGGGGAAGAGAAGGAAAGAAGGATCTGTGCACTTCTAGCATCTAAAATTCCAACACAGCAATAACTGAAGTATCTCTGCAACAGAAACCCTGTTTTCAGCACAAATCCAAAATGCAGCTCCATGATAGCTATTGTGAAGAAAATTAACTTCACCCCAGCAAAACCGGCACATAAAATCAATGCCATTATTGCACAAAGCATGGAGAATTGGTTAAATGAAGGTGTTTCCTTTAAGACACTCTGAGAAAAGAAAGATGGAAATTATTATTTCTACCAAGATTAAGTAAGCCTTAGGGAGATTGCTACCTCTATAGTAATTGCTGAAAATGGGGGTACTCCTAAAAATGAGAACCACCTTCTTACCCTTACCCTGACACCATTTGGCGGCTAAAGCTGTAGTGGTATCATATTTGTATTAAAACAGGCCATACAATGTCAACTTTATATCACAAATGAAATGCCATTGTGTTCTAGTTCCATTATTTATGGTTTTGGATATTTAATTTTAGTTAATCTGCAGCATTCATTGGGTATTGGATATTCATTCAGATAAAGGCCAGCTTAGAGGATCAACATCAATTTAGGCTTCATCCCATGTTGAGAATGTTTCAAGCTAAAAATTAAAGATAAAGGTTCAGAAAAGACCGGCTGCCTCACATGTATATATACACCTCCAAAAATATCTCTGTTAGTAACCGAGGCCCGGATTCCACCTATCTTGAGCTGCCAAGATGTCTAGCATGTTCTTAAATAAGGTGATATGTTTAGATATATCACATCAGAATGAAGTCCCAAAATATTTATGTCACTGAAATACCCAAATCCTCTTCTTCCTGAAAATGACACTATTTATACAGACTGCCATCCTCACAGTTTAGTTTCCACTAACACACCAAAGTTCACACAGGCAAGTATTATAAAATTATAAAAATATACTTAGAGAGAAAGAATTTTATGTATTATAAAATCATATATATATGGATTATTTATAAGCACACATATGCACATGCACCAGTAAACAGAGACATACATGAAGTTATAAAATGTAAGAAAAACTGGGAGGAAACACTTCACTCACTTAGAATGAAAAAGAGCAACATAGGAGATAAAAGGAGCATTTTTGGACTGAGATCGATCTATCTATCTATCTATCTATCTATCTATCTATCTATCTATCTATCTATCTATCATCTATCTATCTATCTCATTCAATTTTAACAGAAATAATCTTTTAATGCTTTGGCCATTTCAGGGGCCTTAAGAAATAGAAGTTGAACCAACTGACTGATATTGAAGGTGTAGTAGAAGAAATATCAGGTAGGTTTTTGTTCAAGTCATATCTTTCAAAGTTCAGGTTTGATACCACTGTCATTCTAATACACTTAGCTGACTATAATAAATGGCGTCTCTATACAGTGTAGAGCAGGCAGTTTACTAAAGTTTTGGAGATTGTGAGAAAAAGAATACTGAATGAAAAGCTCTTGTTTAGGAATCTCAGCCCCCTTGAATCTGTTAAATGGATTTAGTTTTTGGAGACTTAGACAAACAGATGGATTTAAATTAATATACTTATTTTTCTGTATTATTTTCATCTCTTCTTTCCTTTGCATATTTTTCTCTCTGAATTTATTTGCCCTATTTTTATTTTTGTGTTTATTTGCCCTGTGCTTGTCTCAGTGTGTGTCATATCAATCAGTGCAGAGGAACTGCTGTGTTCTGTTTTCAATATACAGGCATCCAGTCACTGAGAGAATGTTTTCATCTCTTCTCATGTTTAAGATTTTTTTCTTGTGTTGACACAATTTATTTGGTTTGATTAAAAAAAACCAAAGATAAAAACAGAGGAAAGCTTAAAATGCTTAATAAATAATTAAGGGGATATGTTGACAATCCTTTGGCAGCCAGAGAAGGAAATACATAAAGAATTTTAAAGGAAAATACAACCCCAGCAGGACATGCAGACAATGGTTTTTGAAGCACACCACAGACACTTTATCCATTGCACTTAAAGGATGCTAAAAATATTTTTTTGGTTGGCAGATTCACAAAGTGTTCTGTTAATTGAATTTAATGGGAATTTAATCTTAATCCCACAAAGTTTGCAAGTAATTTTCCTGACACAGTATAGTAGTATTTTTTAGGAGGAAATGCTAAGAATCCAGAGCACTTGCTGGTAAGTTCTAACTGAGTCTAAGAATGAAAAGTGTCTGAAGTATCAGAATTTTTAAAACATGAGTTTCCTGTTACTCCATGTGTGTAAGTCTTATTCTCTTTCAAATGTAAATACTTCCTTTTTATATGTTAAAGACTTAATCAGTTGTCTTTGTGGACATAAAGTTCCTATTTGTGGACATAGTGACCCTTAGATAAGATGGGTGCAGTATGATCCCCTAGTTTACTTGAAGTAGGCTGCAGCAATCCAAAGTCATTGTACCCTCATGCCTTTAACCAAGGTTTGATTTGAAGAATATGTTTGAGTTCTGAATTTAACTTTCTCCTCCTTAGACAAAATCTGTCCTAGTTTTCTAATTAAATGTATTCATAACCACATTTATCCATTTATTCCAGTGTACTTGTTGCATTGTGTCCAAATTAATTATTCTTTTCTCTGGTGTGTATCCTTATAATGTAGAGACACATATTTTTCACTCCTTGCTTTCATTTTGCTAAGATAAACAGGCCAAATCCTTATAATTTTCACTGCAGTACTTTTTTTCTGTAGCCTCCAAATCATCTCAGCATCCTTCCAGTTTGAGTTCACATTTTTTGACAAGAAAGATGTCCACCTTGATAAGTTCTCAGTGACATCTGGTAATATAGCAGTAATCTTCCATATTCCCACAGGAGTGCTGACTTCATTTGATATAACCTAGGATCATATCTCTGCTTTCCATGAAGTCATTGCATCTAAAACTAACGAACAGTTCGACTGCTCTTTTCCTTCCTTATTAGCATTTCCCTACCAATGAACTCCCAGGTTATGGCAGAAATACTTGTTATATGCCCTGACTGTGGGTCCTTGTACCTTTTCCTATACAAATTCTATTTGTTCCCAGTACATAATTTCTTCCCATGCAAGTTTAGAGTCATACAACCATGTAATTTTTGAAATTATTCTACCATTAGAAAAATCTCTCCATGTTGTGGCCATTAATGGCAACTGTTTATTGAGAAACTCTACTAAAATGACAAGGTTCTTTTCAGAACAACTGACTATTTTATTTCAGTTTTGCCTACCTTCAGTTCTTGTAGTCTCAGCCTTTATTTTAACTGATGATTTCTCATAGCATGAACACAGGATAAAAAATGATTGAAGACAACTTTGTCCATATCTTTTCAGCCTTAAAAATCAGCTATCTTATTGAAGAAGGGCTCTGGCATGATTTGCCATTAGTACATTCAAGCAGGATTTTATATCACATTTTCTTTAGCTTTAAGTCTTATTTTTTAGTAAAGATGTATATGATGTCTCTGATATTGGACCTATAAAACACCTTGAGTTCTTTATGGTTGTCATTACTGCTCATCTAGAGGATTATCTGGTCTTTGTCCCAGTGTGGTCCATGGAGATCATAGAGCTTAGGTCCCGTGCTCCTTGCTCTCTAGATTTTGTCCAAAATCAGTCACACTAACGTGCCTTAGTATTCACTACAAAACTACTTTATTTTTTGCATTACATTTATGACTATTGTTTCATAGTTGTAGATTTTAGAAGCTGAGGGATTTTTTCCTCTTACAAGGAAGACCAGAAATGGGACCAGAAAAGAAAGGATTCTGAGGCTCTCTTTACTAGCTGGATACTAGTTTTTGGAGTGCTGCTATTCAAAAATTTACTTAATAGATTATAGAAATGCAAGAGAAACCATGATAATGACTCTGAGAGCTTACTGGATTCTATTAGAACAGACAGCAATTAAATATTGCTATGAAAACACTTTCTCCTCATTTTTCATTTAGTAACTTTGTCTCTCTCATGCCATCTGATGTCTCCTGAGATCTTTAGTTCCCAGGCTATTTCGGGTCTCTCTTGTCAATATATTTTCTTTTAAGCTTCTTTGCCCACTTCAAGATCAAGAAATGTTCCTGTATCCCAGATTACTGTGTTATAGTAACTCCTACATGCTCTCAATTTTCCAGGAATTCCATTGCTCTCTGGTTTTTGTCTTATTGGACTGCTGGACAAACAGAAATTCAGACCTCTCCAGAAATATCTGGAGTTTGTTCCATTATAATCTGTTCTTGGAGATGGATGTTATAACAGACACTGCATATGAAGTCCAAAAATCAGACAATGTGACTCTTGTGGATAGACTTCAGCTGTGCATACCCCAATCACCTGCTGCATATTGTTTTGCTGTCTTTGTACATTTCTGGGAACAGAACTGGAATAAAACCCTGTTTTTACGGCCAATGGGACCTTCTCTTATTCAGATATGTGGAACCCTGTGGGCACAGTAGTATTTTTGACCCTTAACAGAACAGAATTAGGCCCATGGCATTCAGCTTTCCTGTGTGCTGTGCTTCTCTCTGAGAAATTTATGAGTGGGACACCAACAGACAATTACTCCAGTGGAACAAATGAGAACAGTGTGGAAACTGGTGCAGTAGACTTCTTTCCTTCCACTGTTAAAAATCTGCTTTTCATTATACTTTTCCTCCTTCAGTGTAACGTCCTGCCTTTGACATATTGATAGATCAAAGGTATTTTCTTTCCTGACTGGAGACGTAACTTGCTCATGTACTGTTTCAAAACTGACTGAGCTCTGTTGTGCCGTGGTAGCCATGATTGGTCTCTGTGCACTAAATCTGGGCTGTCCTCTCCTACATTTGACTTCAAGCCCTTAGGTAGCTCCTGTGTTTGACTCTGCAGGTTCAAAAGTCCCCATTGTGCTGGGAAAATAAAGAAATCTGACTGCCATGGCAAGGAACATGTTATTGAACAAATTTCTCTGGTGTCCATCTTGGGGATGTAGCCTCTAGAAATCAACAGCAGGAGCATTCAAGATCTCATCCTTAATGCCATTAGAAATCCACTTCATAATACTGTCAAATACCTTGTAATTCCTTGTAGCAGGAGTTTTAAATGTTTCTAGTTGAATAGGAATCAAACTTTAATCTAAGTTGTGGATAAATAAAAGATATGTTACGTAAAATAATAAACTTAGTGCCTTTAACAAGGCTTTCAATTTTCATGTGACAGATAGAGACTGTGATGATAGATGAAATTGAATCTTGAACTAGGTTCCAAAAATAAATGATGAATATACTTCTAATGATACTAAATTATTAGAAAGACATAAACAAATGGTAAACAGGGAAAACAAAAGGGGGGAATTATTAAGGAAAGGAAGTTAGAGAAGAGAAAAATTCTCAAAGCAGTTAATTAAAAGTAGTATGCCAAAGGATGTCTGAAAAGAGGATGAGAGTTTAATTATGGTTACATAAAATGAAGATGCTTCTAAGGGAAATGAAAGAAAATAGAGGTCATAAAGGGAATGTGTCATGTGATCTGTTCACAGAGATATATGTAGATTTGAATCTTGTTGGTCAGAGAAAAGAGTAAACCAGTTTTTTACATGAGGGAAAATTTGCATTATTTGGAAAGATAAGACAGTCCTTATCTTGGACTAAGTGTCTGCAGGAAGTATGGACTGTAAGAAGAAATCTTTAGAGAACCTGTAGGTCCAACAAAAAATCATAGCAAAGAACAGCATAAAATTGTTTTAGCATTTTATATCCTTCAAATTTCATTCATGAAATTAATGCTAGAAAAAAAGCTATAGTGTTTTTAAAAGGTAGAAGATGATTACACTGGAATTGGTTGAGAAAATTTAAATTGAAACAACAAATGCTCAGTTATGGCAGAAACAGAAGTTATGAAGCCTGGTGAGTGACAATCTAAAGTGCAATGTTGTGGCAGCAGCTCTCTGGCCAGAGAGAGCAGCACACGGCTCTCCCAGGCATTTTCCTGAGGAAGGCTGTGAGAGGATCAGAGAAAAGAATGAAGAGCAATTCTTACCTTCACTTGCTGCAACCTGTTGTTGTGAACAGGTTGTGGAGTGTGGAATGTGTTGTGGAGATTTGTTTACCAAAGGGTGGTTTCTTACTTAGCCAATGGTGATGGTGCTTGAACTGGAGGACCAATTAAGTCCACCTGTATCGTAACTGTCTATAAAAGCAATGGGTTTCTTAATAAGACCAGAATATGTATAATAAAGTGATTGATCAGCCTTCTGAGAGTCATGGAGTCAATGCTCATTATTACCCAGCCTGGGGCCAGCTGGCGACAGCACACAGTGATCTTACTGTGGATGTAC